GATAATTTGTACACACTTGTTCTAACCGCATTAAATTTTAAAAACTGTTTTGATTTCGACCCGTTTTGATCGTTTTATGCATCTTTATTAACTATAAAAGCGGTTGTTTTTTTTTTAGTTTTGTTAGTTCAACATAGGCCAAGGGTTGTTATTAGGGTATAAAAAAGTTGTTTAAGTCAAAACTAAGCTTTCCAGGTGATCGTAGGAACGTAACTGCCTTGTTTAATCTAGAGGTCGCCTTAGACAGCGGCGTCGTCGGAAAAATAGCGTTAAAGAGGACTTGAACAAAAGCACTCGCCACTCAGAGAATACCAATAATAGAGAATACGCGAGCGTAGGTATATTAGACAGGTAGACAAATTTGTGTATAAGGGGGGCAGCGAAAGTTCTTCGAGGACTCTAAAAGCTTAAGAAAACGGAGAATTTAACGAATTGATCGGGTAAATTGTATTATTTTCGTCGTGATAGAAACGTTACTCTGCCGCCACTGGGCCGAGGGGATTTTCTAAATTCTACTACAATAGGAGAGTAACGAATTATCTAATAGCCGCCGGATTGTGAACATATACGTATAACGACTATATATGATTGTCGGTGCCTCGTTAGTCGGTTTCTATCGGACGTCTCCCTTAAGATTACAATAATACGTGAATACGAATTCGGACACCTCCGTCGAGACTCGTCGGGACGACCCATTGTGTGTAACATAATGTAATAATAAAAAAAATGTTTTTCCCTGATGTACAATTTATTATATTAAGCTGTCGTCGGAATCACTATGTTTGTATGTACAGATAATATATACGTCTATAAGCAGCCGTATAACGACCGCGTGGTGTCTCTCAATAACTTCGACGTACAGCGTACGAATATACCGGTGTTTGGTCCCCAGTCCGGATTGATATATGGAGGTCAGATGGGCCGTGACCCACGGCGCACACGACTTCAAGGGTCTCGGCCCTTACGAAGTAGACGTGTTCTTTATCTATACGCAATTGCTCGTTAATTTCGCATTTTAATAATTGACCGTTTTCAATATTTTCTCGTTGTCTCGGAACCCGATTAACTTTTACGATCATAATATATTTTGTTCACGAAACTTACGGCTTTTCAATATTATGATATTCTATTATCTTTATATTGTTATTTATTGGTTTTACATCGCTAAAACATAATAGTACGACAATTTTTTGTTGTATTATTCTTTTCGGGGGCGTCGTTGAAAACTTTGCCCGGGTGCCTTTAACTGTCTCAATCCCGGCTTGTTTGGTCCTCGTGGTGCCATCAAAACGACAGATAGTGCGTATAGGTATTATAGACGGCGTTGTAATGTCGGTCTCGCGAAAACGATTGGCTAGCGGATAAAATTATCGGGGCGTAATAAATACGCGCGATCAGAAATAAGACTGGATTCGCGAAAAATACCGTATATTTGTTATTATTTGGAAATCTCATGTTCCGGGGTCACGTAAATCACGGAGAAAACTGCCACCTGCAGACGATAATTGTATGGTTTTTTATTTTTTTTTTTGTTTTCAGAAAACTGACTTCAGCGGTCTAAACGCGGACACGGTTCGGCGCGAGTCCGTGGGCATCGATTATACATGTGCACGGGAATATTTACAGGAAACGTGATCGAATAAACAGGTGAAAAAACTCCGTAGATAAAAAGTCCCCCGGCTCGGTGTTTAATTATTATTTTAGATTCTGGGCGTAGCGAAGAATGTATTGATCCTTCTATGATGTGTTTTTTTTTTACAAGTTTACAAATGAGCTTTTTAGTAGAATGTTTGATTTACTTTAAGCTCTACGGAGATAATTTTTTGAGTTTCTTAGTAGTTTTCTTAATAAGTGTAAAAAACTAGGAAATAATTGTATGGTTTACTAGCGTTTTATTATTTTCGGTTTTGTTTTTTTATTGTAATTCGATTCAAATTAATCATAGAGACCTGAATTTTTACAGAACACTTACATGTATGTATATTGAACATGTATATTTATATATATTAGTCTTTTCAAGACGTGATCAAATTTTCAAAAGATTCTGATTCTGATCAAAAGGTTTTTTGAATCATTTATACATTTATTTTGAAAGAAAATTTCGCTGATACAATTATTTTCTTTCGAAATAAATGCACTGCTTTGAAAAAAAATATATTATATTTGGTTGAATTCTCGACGGTGCGTTTCTACCGCTGAACAGAAACGAAATTATCTGAACATTCGAATTAGCGTCAAATAATAATATTGTTATACTGTTGTATGTATGTAGATAAGATAATAAACGGCAATAATATAATTACCGATAGGATGTATAATTCGTTAGATAGGCATGAAACGGCGAGAGAAAAAATAAAACAATTGCAACACGCATAAATTATAAAATTTTGAGTCTGATCCAAACACTGCGATAGTTTAGCCGGAGTCTGTCGGAGACGGGTCGAGGAAATGTGCGCCTAAAGGCAATGATTTTATCGACAACCGTAGTACGCTAATGTTTCTCACGTGAGCAATCCCCACCCCAATGTCCGTTCTTCTATTTTATTTTTTTAACACGGTTGAAAAATAATAAAATATTACGAACCTCGTACAAATTCTCAATATTTCTGATCGGCCAAACAATTATAACCACATAGGTAGACCGAATGAAAACTAAAAAAAAAAACCTCGAAAATGTCAAATACATATAGATAGCTAAACCTTTTTTGAAAATTTGACAACGTCTAAAACAAGCTAATGTAAATATTATGCTTAAGTTGCAGGTCTCTACGAAACTGCAAAAAAAAAAAACGTTTTCTTTTTAACGTGTTTGATTAAAATATTTCAGGTATCCGAAACAATAACGCGTAAAGTTGTTCAGAATTTTAAGCGGCTGATCAAGTCTTTTGTTATATTGACGAAATTAACTTTTAAACTTGATTCCGACTTTCTAATAAATTAGTTAGTGTCTATGGCTTTATAATCACAAATCCGGACGGTTAAGGTGTAATCGGAATAATTTCCCCGTGACCAACCAGCGACGACGCACACACGTTCCACATTTTTACACGGACCTCCGAAAGTCGTGTATAACAAAACAATGCGTTTACTTTTTTATTTTTTTTTTTTTCAGACCCGCATTACGTCTCGGCGAGTGTTCCGTCACGTCACTTCGGTAGTGAACTCATCATTTACATGCCGCCGTATATTACACTCGAATTGTTATTGACGGAATAACGTATTATTTTACGAACGTGTCGATGTGATCTATCGCTTATCCGTGTCCGACCGAAAGACAATAATATATATTATTAAAATAAAATACATTCTTCGCTACGCTCAGAATCTAAAAATGACCGTTTACAACGACGACTCACGTATAGTATACCGCTGTCAGTTGTTCAGCTGCCGCTTATCGTTTCGGTACGGAAAATAATAATAACTGCGCGACCTGTCCCCCCCCACTCACCCCCCCCCAAAAAACCTATGATTTACTGAGTTAGCGCAGCGGGGAATCTATTGGTTTTAATACGTTGAATGCAATTTTTTTTTTTTCGTTTTATTAACAAATTTCTTAGGTACCGGAAATCTTGCTCCAATCAAAAATTATTACAACAAAAAAGTTTTTGTAGCAATTCGGATTTAGTACGGGGCATCGGGCAGGTCGGTGTTTTTGATTTTTCATTATGACATCGAGAAAAAGTAAAACCGGCCAAATTTACGACAGTAAAAGTTTCATTGCTTTAGATTTTTTCGATTTTATTTTTCTACCGGAACGCTCGGTCGAATTTGAAGAGTATCGTCGTTTTAAAAAAAAAAAATGTTGTCTTATCGGTTTACATAAGAATAAAATTTTATTTAACTTTTTAAATGGTCGGAAAAACGATTTAGTAAAGATATTAACGGACTTTATACGATTTGATAATTAGTGTTAATTTTATTGGTTTTGTTTAGTGTTTTAAAATAGGTTAGTAAGATTTTCGAAAAAAAATCAGTGTGTACACTTATATGTTTGCAATATTTAATTCAACGATCTAGTTTAATTTTTGAATGAACAGGTTACCTACGTACCTGAAATTCTTGCAATCAAATTTTTTTTTTGTTTAACATAATTTGTTTTCGCGCTAACCGCTTACTATTATTAACCTTGCCCTTCGCGGTCTTATAAATAGAGATATAGGCATGTAATAACCGTTGCAACAGGTTAGAACGACTACTATAATGTGATATAATATCCGGTCAAACGACATAATTGTTGAACAATTTTTCTTTTCTCATTACATGAAATTGCGATAATTGGTTTTTATCATAAGAACGGTTAAAAATGTTTCCAAACGTGATGTACGTATACCATTCGTCCTGTGATCCTGCAACGACAGTGGCGGCGGCGTGACAGCAGCAACTGCGACTACATACCGCACAGTTATTTGAAAATGTTTAAAGTTTCCATACACCCCCTCTCCCCTCTCCACTCGGACAAATCGCGAAACTTGACAAAGTTACTCCGATGTTAGACTTGCTATACGCATACGTATGCTGCAGGTGAAATAGAATTAATCTATTATTATGTTTCCATGATTTTAGTTATTCTTGCGTTTTCAACGGTCTACAGTTTCCGATTTCTATAATTTTATATTTCAGGGTTTTCGATAAATATTCGCCAAATTAATAATTTTCAATAATACTGAGTATTGTTTCCTTTATTCCGTTGTAACCGCGGGTTCCTGATGTCTTCAATGAGCCTATAATCTCATTGGCCTATCGTAATGTGCACATCCGTGGCAATAATGTTGATTATTCTGTTTGCTGATCCGCCGATCAGCGATAGTTTTCGCACGTATCTCTATGGTAAAATTTTACGTTTTTCGAATTTCTGTTTCGTAAAGTTACCTATAATTTTTCAATCGAAGCGATTCGTTGTGTGCGATAATAATTACTTATATTACATTAATCACGTAAAAAATCCCGTTTATCGTCAGCTACTACAGCAGTAACGTCGCCTGGCGAGCAAATATTCGAAAATGACGTCTCTAGAAAAAAAACGCGAAAAAGAGAGTATTGGTTAGTAAATACCTGTGTTCTACTGCAGGTTTTCCTGCCGATGCCCGAGTATTATAGCGAGCTTAAGGGAATATTATCTGTGTTTTTATATAGAGAACGTAATCAAAAGTTCGTCGAAAATAATTAGTCGTCCGACTTTTGAGTCGTCACACGGCGACACCATCATCGGTACTGTCGAAACTTCAGAACCACTGAGTCCGTCGGAGGAACCGAATCCGGCCAACTCTGGAGTCAATCACGTTTGTGTAAAACTCATACGGTTCGTGATCAAGCCCGTAATTTACATGGTACGGAGAGTATGTTTTTACTTCGGAATTACGCTTTTGTGCATTTATTACGTCTTCATTTAATATGATATTGTACCGTTACGGCTGTGTAATGTTTTATTTTTATCCAAATCGGAGTTGTGTCATGACGCGTACCTAATGTTCGATAAACAAATAATTTCCCAAACAATTATGTCCCGTCAATGTGTTTGTTATTAATAAAATAATGTATATAGTGTTTATCGTATTTACAATTATATGTTTAAACGTATACCATATTAAATTATACGTTTCTTACGTTTTATGGAAATAAAAAACAACCGTTTATTCCATAAAAACGATTAAGTTTAATTATTTTTGTAACGAATCGTCTGAGAACGTCGTTTATACTTATGTTTTTCGTCATTGTAAAAATCAGTTGTGTACATTGCAAAACTACAAACAAAAAAAACCCAGCTTTCAATCCTTAGCGTAACTTAATTTTATATGACTGAATATTGTCGGCATTATAATAAAATATTTATCGTTCGTTTCAATTCAGAGCTCGGCGATAATAAAGAGAGTATTGTTTTCACTTTTATTTGGGATTTTATTTAATTTTTTTTTTATAAACAACGCTTTGTATAATTTTTGTTGATTTCTGGGTTTTCTCGACAACAAGAGAGAAATTCGACTAACTATACAATTTTTTTTTTTTAAATCAATATGTGTTTGAAAATGTGAAAATATATTATCTGCGTACGATAGGTACTCTTCATATTTGTACAGAATTATATTTATGGGCACGATTAATTATTATTACATTGCACGCGGTAAATTCAAACGTGATTTTCCACATCGTTTCGTGTCGTCGAATAATACATAAATATTAAATCATTTTTTTTTTATTCGAAGAGTTATGGGTTATTATTAGCGCGGTCCACGGAGAGAGAGCGTCGCGGTTTGTTATTGAGACATAAGTAGGTAGGTATCCGTCCTCGGTATAAATTATAAATTTATTATGATTGTATAATGAGGTGAAAATATATCGGCTGAATTAATTATTCTCGTCTTCGGTGCGTGCCGGGATGTATAATGAATTATGCATAAAATATCGATTTGCACACTTAAACGATGACGATACGCGACCCACACAAACGGTGACTTTTAACGCACGGGCGTCTGTGGCTATCGCGTCATAATACTTCTAGAAATTGGTTCTAGATATTGAGATCATTGGAGAATAACGTACGGAAGAAAATATGTGGACCTACTGCTATCTACAAATAATATAATAATCACGTTATATAATGAGAAGAGGAGAGAAAACAAAACAGTCAGAGCAGCGCTCGATCGGAAACCTGAAGGAAGACCTCGAGTAAGTCACAGAGAAAGACGGATAGACGAAAAAAGATTCAGAAAATGTGCAGAAAGATGGAAACGGTAGAAAAAGGTTGTTCAAAATAGAGATGGGCAGTGAAGTTTAGTTACAACGGATAAAACTATTGAAGAGTAGATAACAGTATGCCAGAAAAAAAGAACGGTATGGTTCTCGTGACCAATTTTTTAACATTATTTCGAATTATTACAGCTAAATCGAGTACTATGTACTCGCGTTTACTTCTTACGAAAGCGCATTTAAATTATATTGCTGAAATCAGTTTACAAGCACGACATAAAATATTTCCACAGTACTCATTTATAGATTTAAACATGTCAAGCCGACTAGGAAATAGTTAAAACGATTAAATCTCCTAAACGTACCGAGTTTACGATTTTTCAAATTTCGGAATTCTTGAATTAGAACAAAAATATTTATACGGTGTTATGATAACAGAATAAATGACAAGTAAAATAAAACCGTCTATGCGTTCCCTACAATTCAATTTTCTATACGTAATACCTCCTATCGGTGGGCCTGGTTGCACATTACTTGCTCGGCTGAGTTAACAAAAGAATGCCTCCATATAGATACGATGAGGAACGTGGAATTAACCAAACCAACTAAAAGTCCTCATATAGGTTAAAAATAAAAATAAGTAAGTTTTAAAACTTTAGAAGGGCCGAACAAAACAGATAAATATATTAGCTCACCTGAATCGCGGAAACGGGTCCTGTGATAATCGAAATAATTGTAAATAAAGTGTACTTTGTTTTAAAATATACTTATTTCATACATTTGCATCTTACTTGACGTTGAATTGTTCGACGTGTTATACGTTATGCAGGAGTTATTATGTTCTATTCGATTTTATTTTAAGCTTTGCGGTGGTTTATACTTTCTGTTTTAACTTTTATCTCAAAAAAATGAACCTATATACTACATAGGTATATTATAGTATTGTAGTTTTGTAATTATTTTCAAATTGTTTTATTTTTTCATCTTATTACCTCTGATTTTGAATTATTTTTTTATTCTTTTCCTCATTAGAGGAAGGCCCATTCAGCAGTCGCCGTCTCGTCGACCTGGCCAGGCCCGCCACTGCCTTCTGTGTGATTGGTCAAAATTAAACTGTAGGCAATTCGTTTTTTTTCTTTTGTTTTATATATGCCTATGTATAAATGTTTTTTGTGCTTTCTGAAAAAATAAACTTTTAGCACACCACACGATAGGTATTTTTTTCTAAACATATTATAATACAGTTTCGTAGGAAAAAGTATTTAAGATTCTCTCCCACCCTCTGTTGCACCAAAAAAAAAAATAAAATAATAATATGTTTTCCGGGTGCGTCACCATTGCCGCCAGTATAAAATTCCTATATACGATTATTATCTATTCGCAGCCCGTCTCACTGTATGATAATATATTATGTACTTATGGTTTGTTTTTATTATTATTATTTTTTTTTTTTTTTAACATATCCGATGACACGACGGGGTGAAATTGAACTGTGTAATACGAATATTATTCGGATTCCGAACATTTCTAATAATATACGAGAATATTTTAATTGGTCGCGCAGCACTGAGGAACGGGCGAGATGTTCGATCACGAATAACACGTCCATCAAACTATATTGCAGGTATATAGATACACTATGATACAGTATAAGACGTACACTGGCGGTGTGGTGTGTCCAGATAAGTATCATTGATAGGTGCGTGCGTGTATGAAAATAATGTGTATAGGTATACTCAATATAATATCGACCAGTACGTTTTAATCTAATCGACCCGTCAATACGGCTACACGAAAGTATACGCACAGTAATATTATAATTTCGTATAAGTGCTGCACTATAGCCAGTCCCCGTCGTCGCGTCTACACGATAAACCGCCAGATGTTCGATACGGTACGACTTTTTATACATTTTTCCAAATCGATAACCCCTACACAACCTTCGATCAATTTCGGAAACTAATTGTTAAAAAACGGTTTTTTTTTTTTTTTATATGCGGTTCCCGACCACTTCTAGATATATATAGGTACCTACCTACCTACCTACCTACCTACTAACCAACGAGAAATACGATACGCGCATACCTATACAAGTTATATTATACATTATTATTTATAGCCCAATCACCAGTACTGCATCTCGGCAGAGACTGTTAATCTTTTATTCTTATTTATTTTTTTTTTTTGTGTTTATCCGTCTCCCTTATAACTATATACGAAGGTCTCCACGTTCCACCCTAAACGATATACCTGATTGTGTGGTATGAAAAACGTATAATATAATTCCACAAAAACAATATTGCTGTAAGCTATCCGGAAACTACGAATACGAGATTATCATAAACCTATACACGTCTATGCCCGAAAATATAATAATAATAATATTCAATTTAACAGTCTTACAAACGTACGACCATAGCAATTCTGTGTCGCTATATCGCCTATTTGTATAACATTAGAACGAATTGGCCTATTGTCAAACTTGACTGTATCGTATAACTTTACTGCGCGACCTTGTTCGGTATTCTAATTTCTAACCCGGGTATACGAGTACCTATGTGAAACATCACAGTTTAAAAATGTGTGTGTCTGGCTTAAAAATTTAAAAATTAAAATAAAAATCGACGTGGTTACACACGGACAATTTTTGTTTTATCCTCAAGTGTGACGATTGGTCAATTCAATCTAACGTCAAAACTACAACGTAAAGCACAGTGGACGTGAATTGGCTATGCAATACGTTTTCGTATACCGGAAACGGCACAAGTCCACTTAAAATCTATAAAAACCACAGTTACTATAATCAATCATCCGCGTGCAGTGTTTCGGCGTGATACATAGATAGTGCGTCACGTTTGCGTCTAATGCGTGCATCTCGTCCGCACCTATGTGTCGTAGTTCTTCGCTGCTATATCGGTAATAATAATATTCTGACGTTAGCCAATACCGAGTGAAATACTACGATGATAGATGAACGGGAGGAAACGGTTCGTGCGGGCACCCGCGTATCATAAAACCGCGATCCGCAGTTTCGTCGCGGCATTCAGTGTTTTTGTAACAATTGTCGCACGACAGGGAAAAACCGCGAATGGCGCGAGCGGCGGAGTGTCTCACGGGTGTACGGGTTCTCGGGGGCGCGGCGGTCCAAAATGCGAAACGTGTCGTATAGTTCAGTGAATTTATCGCGCGCGCGCGCGCGGTTTTTCTACGCGCCCGTAGAAAAAAGGAACGGCCGAGTGCCGCGCGACGACACGAACGACGACGACGACAGCACCGTCTGGTTAACGTTAAATTATGAAATCTTGCGGTTAAAAGCCGCACACACGCACACCGATTTTAGTGATTTTTCGACCCGTAAATTATTCTACAAGATAAAACAACACTATAAAACTTGTAACGGCGTGATATCATTTTTAATAGCCGTCAATAATATTGTTAGGTTTTTTTTTTTTATAATTATTGTTTTTATTATTTAACAGTACATCCCGAAAACTGGCGTGTGAAACCGTTTCCAACAAAATACGGTTATTAAAATTCGGTAAATTTGTTGTCGTTCGGCGAAAAGTAATTGTAGATGTCTGACATTTTCACCGAATATCAGTATTTTCTAGGTGTGATATGATTTTCGAAATTTTCCGGCGCTTCTTTTTTTTTTTTTAGTTATTTATTGCCATAAGGTATATTTTAAATTATAAAATTTGTTTTTTGCTTTGGTTTTATGGTACAATATTTTTAGCTTCGCATGAATGCTCGAAAATGCAGTAGACGGTTCATCATGAATTAAAAATGTTCACGTATCTGTAGTTTTCCCAAGCGTTTAAAGTATAATTGTATTTTAAAATTCGTTAATAAAAACACGACCAACTGTAATTTATTTTGTATACTAATCGAATAACACTTTCGATTTAAATTAACCAAGACAAATGAAATCGAACTCATTCATCCGCTTGGATTTGCTTTTCGTTTCTAACGATTTAACCTACATTCCCAATTCCTCATGTTCAACAGTGGTCTGATATTTTAGAGTAAAACAGCGAATTTTTTTTTTTCTTGACTATTTTCTCGATTATGCGGCATCTAACGGTCGATATCGGTTTACTTGCCCATTTGTAAAATTTAACACCACACATTTGTAAGTGTATATTCAATACTAATAGTAATATCCGGTGTTTAAAGTGGGGAAAACTTCGACGGAGCATTATATATATTATTTGCCAAAAATTGAGTGGCGTTCCTGAAAACTACTTAAACAAAACTTTCAGGAAACTCAACACGGAGACAAGATTTCTAAAATAGTTTTTCCGACACGCACTCGTTTATAAAAATGTGAAACCCTTTAAGGTTTAAGAAATTAATGCACTCTCCTTCACTTCCCAAAAAAAAAAAAAAAAAAACTATCCTATATGTTAAAAATAAAGTTACAACCACAGCTCATAAAAAAATAAAGTAAAACAAAGTCTGATTGTAAACAATCCAATAGGCATTAAAGAATTTATTTTTAACAGAACAAATTCGGGTTTTTTAAATTTCATTGTAAATACCATAGTGACAATAACCGAAACGTGACCGCGGGACTTTGAAGAATCTAATTAAAGGGAACTGATGATTTCACGTTAAATCAGAACGGCGGCTCCGACCTATCTTCTGCCGCGCCGCCCACTTTAACCACTAGAAATATCAACGGTCTTAAAACCGTCTATGATATGAACGCTACACAGTGTAGGTCGTATATCTATCCGAGAAAAAACAATACACGGAACACGCATAATGTAATACAGACAATAAATACGAAATAAAATATTGTGTCATTGTGTGCCTGTACTCGTATTTTGTATTATTATTTTCATTTTTCATTTAAAAAAAAAAAAATCAACTGTGCCGCAGAGACTTTTTTGTCGCGAGATTACAAACGGACGCGGGGCAATAATAATCATAACAAAACGTTATAGTCTATTGTTATAATATACGCGGGCCCGCGAAGTCGGACGGTCGCAGGTGGGCGTACGTATTATGTAAACTGGTATGCGACGAGGACAGACGCGGCGGAG